GTAGTGGTAATGGTTAGGTTATGAAGGAGATTGTGGTGATAGTGGTAGTGATACGGGTGGTAGTGGTAATGGTTAGGTTATGAAGGAGATTGTGGTGATAGTGGTAGTGATACGGGTGGTAGTGGTAATGGTTAGGTTATGAAGGAGATTGTGGTGATAGTGGTAGTGATACGGGTGGTAGTGGTAATGGTTTGGTTATGAAGGAGATTGTGGTAATAGTGGTAGTGATACGGGTGGTAGTGGTAATGGTTAGGTTATGAAGGAAATTGTGGTGATAGTGGTAGTGATACGGGTGGTAGTGGTAATGGTTTGGTTATGAAGGAGATTGTGGTGATGATGATGATAGTGTTGAAAGTGATTGTGGTGATCTCTCTCTCTCTCTCTCTCTCTCTCTCTCGTCAAACAAATATGTTAATCTAGTCAGGCCTTCAGGTGAGGGGGTGTTTCCTCGTGACACTGAAGCGGGTTTTTTTTTTACTCCCGGGTGAACTGTCTGGTGAAGCGGCCGCGAGAATCACACAGAAAAAATATTAACACGGGAAAGTGATCTGAATTGTAAATGTATTGTGGATGCAAATTACGTAGTTTAAATTGTACCGGAGAGTAGAGATAGATGGTTGATAGATAGATAGATAGATAGATATAGATAGATAGATAGATGCGTTAAGTACCTAAATGTATATATTTATAGAGAAGAGTGAAAGGAATATATACATGCATACATACATACATACATACATACATACATACACATTCATACATACATAAAGGGATAAAAATTAAATTTAAACAAGGAGGAATTTTACGATGAACTCAACTAAAATAATAAGCTTATTTTAATATATATTTCTTTATTTACTTTATTTTTCTATTTATTTATGGCAATTTTTTTTTCATTTCTTTTCTCCTTGCTGACTATTTTTTATTCACCTTTTCTTTACATTACCATTTATTTATTTCGTATTTACGTATTTCTTCCATCTTTTTTCTTTATTGTTATTCTTCTATTCTATTTCTGCTTAACTAGGCAATATGAGAGATTTTTTTCCCCACACCTACAGCCTGCGATTTAACAAAGCCAAAACAATCTCACACAAACTGGCTTTAAAAATAAATGAGCATCGAAACACACAATAATGCCTCTTATATGTTGAGGTTACAAATGTATTACTGCGCTTCAATAACTAAGGACTTGAATTGTTGACCTGTACTAGATAAGTCAATACAGTACAGTTAGTTATTTGTGCTATTGAGACACTTAGAATTTAATCTATTTTTCTTTCTTTCAAGAGTAATTAAAAATATATATAATTGAAACACGTAAAGTGGCTGTGTATTTGCGTTTGTGATTATTATTTATTTACACCAGAAAAATAGAATATGATCTGAAATTAATTTATTTGAGATTATATTATTATACTAAAAACTCATTATTATATATTTTATTAATTATGTCTTTACAAAAATATTACTGTTAAAACACTAAAAAAATAATACCCTCTGATACCTTTTATTTATTTTATCAATCATTAATTACGTCATTGCAGAAAAAATATCCCCTCCCCCCCAAAAAAATATAACAAGGAATTTTTATTTTATATATATATATATATATATATATATATATATATATATATATATATATATATATATATATATATATATATATATATATATATATATATATATATATATATATATCTATTTATATATATATATATATATGCTTTTTTTTAATTTACGGTAATGGTTATGTAAAATACGCGTGTTATGTGAAAAATATTCGTGTTTTGGCGCCATTATCCCGACCACAACAGCCAACCTATCCTAACCAAACCAGGCATATTGCTCTACAGCCAGTCAGTGTTCACTTCCTTACGTCAACTAATCCTTCAAATTATATAACTATTGTTAGTATCCTTATATATAATTGATGCTGAGTCTATAATGTATTACTGAGCTTCAACCACTTGTATATAGTATAGGTCTTTAAAGCGCGTATATTATAGGTTAGGATTATACTAGTCACATATAATTTAGAATTAAGAGATACTGATCATATATTTCTTTGGTTTGTTAGTGTTTTTGTGTTTTTTCTTTTTTTTGACGCAGTGTTTAATGTTAGTATCGTGTTTTGGTTAATTTAATTGTTTTTTTTTTGTAATTCTGGACGCTGTGTTTATTGTTAATAATATGTTTTTGTTTTGTTTAGTTTCTGTAGTTTTCTATGCTCTGTGGTCTACTGTCATTACCGCAGTGTAAATATTTAGCTTTCTCGGTATTCTTCTACACTATGGACTGGTTAAGGTTATATTTCTTTATCCATTTAGTGAAGCGCTCGATGTCTCCCCCTAATGATTTTTTTATTCACATGAGAGAAACCCCTGACCTACAAAGGGTTAAGATCACCCATTTTTCTCCCCATTTCTATTTTTTCCAGCTAGCCTTATATATTTTCCAATTCAATAAATGAAAAACTAAAAATAACGTTCTATATTTCAAGTAAACATTAACTATTTTTCCCTTTCTATATTTTTTTAATTGCCAAACATTCCCTCTTTTCTAATTCCATATTCGACGTTTTTACTGGAAAAATAGAATCCAGTCTTACACGAACGCTTCTGGCGAGAGAACATACACCAGCTATATTGTATTGCTGTGAATATGTAAACTAATTTTTTTATGCACGCTGATTAAAGTTTCCCCGTTAAAATATGAGCCACTTTTATGATTAGAATTTTACAATGAAAACATAATCCAGGTTTTTTTCTCACTAGATTAGAAATTCATAGTTATAGTGCAAGTCAGAATTATGATACGGATTGTATTCATTGTTATTTTGTACTGTGGATGAACGACAAAAAAAAACAAAGAATCATACACATCATTACAAACTAGTTCCATACACAGTGTAAGTGAGAAAAGAAATATACGAACTCTATTTGAACATTAATTTCTAAAGGTCTCGTTAATGTCGGGGGAGGTGGCGGGGGAGGGGGAGGGTTTGTTATGATTCAGCCTAGTGTATTTATGCCCAAATTAGCTCAGGAATTATAGACGACGCCAAAGTATATTAGGCCGGTATGTTTTTGTTTTTTTTACTTCTGTTTGATCCAGCGTGAAAACATTTGGCTATTTTTAACCTCGCTCATGTTAAAATTTCCCGCGCTTTTTTTTCTATTATTGTCTGCCTATTTGTTTTCCTCCCTTTTGTTGACACCTTTACTCTTTTTGTTTGTTTTGGGAAAAGTATTTTGTGCTTTTATTATGTCTATTGATGGTGCGTGATGATGTATGTGTGAGGGTGATGGTGTGGTATGGTGTGTGTCTGTGTGTGTGTGTGTGTCATATTCAGTAGTGGTGATGGTGTTGCATGCATGTAGTAGTAATAGTAGTGGTAGTGTCTTAATTGTGACTTGCGTTATAATGTAATGGTGATTATTGATATGTAAAGTAATGGTGACGGTATTGATAGTGAAATATAAAGTAGTGGTGATGGTGCAGTAGTGGTGACAGAGCTATATAAAGTAGTGGTGATGGTGCAGCAGTGGTGACAGAGCTATATAAAGTAGTGGTGATGGTGCAGTAGTGGTGACAGAGCTATATAAAGTAGTGGTGATGGTGCAGTAGTAGTGACAGAGCTATATAAAGTAGTGGTGATGGTGCAGTACTGGTGACAGAGCTATATAAAGTAGTGGTGATGGTGCAGTAGTGGTGACAGAGCTATATAAAGTAGTGGTGATGGTGCAGTAGTGGTGACAGAGCTATATAAAGTAGTGGTGATGGTGCAGTAGTGGTGACAGAGCTATATAAAGTAGTGGTGATGGTGCAGTAGTGGTGACAGAGCTATATAAAGTAGTGGTGATGGTGCAGTAGTGGTGACAGAGCTATATAAGTAGTGGTGACAGGTGACAGAGCTATGTGTGACAGAGCTATAAAGGTAGGTGATGGTGCAGTAGTGGTGACAGAGCTATATAAAGTAGTGGTGATGGTGCAGAGTGGTGACAGAGCTATATAAAGTAGTGGTGATGGTGCAGCAGTGGTGACAGAGCTATATAAAGTAGTGGTGATGGTGCGCAACAGAGCTATATGTAAAGTAGTGGTGATGGTGTAGTAGTGGTGACAGAGCTATATAAAGTAGTGGTGATGGTGCAGTAGTGGTGACAGAGCTATATAAAGTAGTGGTGACGGTGCAGTAGTGGTGACAGAACTATATAAAGTAGTGGTGATGGTGAAGTAGTGGTGACAGAACTATATAAAGTAGTGGTGATGGTGTAGTAGTGGTGACAGAGCTATATAAAGTAGTGGTGATGGTGCAGTAGTGGTGACAGAGCTATATAAAGTAGTGGTGACGGTGCAGTAGTGGTGACAGAACTATATAAAGTAGTGGTGATGGTGTAGTAGTGGTGACAGAGCTATATAAAGTAGTGGTGACGGTGCAGTAGTGGTGACAGAGCCATACAAAGTAGTGGTGATGGTTAAGTAGTGGTGATGGTGAAGTAGTGGTGATGGTGCAGTAGTGGTGATGGTGTAGTGTACTAACAGGTTCCTTCCCTAGGTACGGCCCCGCCCACAGACACGCCCCCTACAGTAGCTCCGGGTTCCCGAGTGTCCGGCCTCATCGTCGTCATCATCACGCTGGTAGGGGCGGCGCTCCTCGTCCTCAACGTCGCCCTCGTCGCTTGCTTCATCAGGCGTCGGGCTCGTAAGCGACTGACAGGTTAGTAGTGCCCGCATATGGACGAGCGGGGAGGGAGGGAGGGGGCTTACTGTGAGTGCCTCCTCCTTCTTCAGGTCCAAGGTTATAGGGCGGTTATGACCACGTGATCTTGAGCCCCTTCTACAGGGTAACCGCATGCGGATGAGGGAGAAGGGGGCTAAGTTTGAGCTTCCTTTCTCTATGAAAACCGCATGCGGAGGAGCGGGGAAAGGGCCGAGTTTGAGCGCCCCGTTTCCGTATGATTCGACAAGGTCTCAAGGCAGTGTATATATGTGTATAGGTTCGCCGCCCCTGACTGAGGTAGAGCGGGTCATCTCGCGCGTCCTGGCAGACAAGGCCGACCTGCCACGGGTGGTGACCCTCTCCGTGTCCACCGTGGGCGGCCTCCTGGTGGTGATCAACGTCATCCTCGTCGCCTGTGTCCTACATCGTCGTCGCCGTCGTCAGGGGAGCCAGGGTAAGGCGCACCCCCCGTGGTAGCGCTGATCATATAGTAGTGGTGGTGGTGGTGGTGGTAGTTATGGTGGTGATGGTGCTAATAGTGGGCAGTAGTTTTATGGTGGAATTCTTGATGGCTTTGATGGCCACCGTGGCACCATAAAGTTATGGTTGCAGTAGCTTCATGGTGATGGTGCTTACAATGCTTGTCTCTCTATGGTAGTTAAGAAATTCTCTGATAAGTACGGTGATGGGATGACTTTGTGATGGTAGTTACAATGATCGTGTTCTCACGGTTGTTGTTTTGTGGTAGTGACAATCTCTGAAAATGGCTCAGCGTCATGGTAGTGCCGAAGAGGATTTATGGCAGTCTTTTACACTGGCTTGTTATATTCTCATAATTTCATGGCTGTGGGTACATATTGTATCTCCTGTATTATGGTGCTATGCTTCTGCTATGGTAATGCTCGGCTTACACTCTTCACCCCCCTTACACTATGGTGCTCTAACTCTTCCAAGGTGATGGTGTGCTCTACCATTGTGCCGTAAAATTATGGTATCCTGACTATGCTGTTGTAGATGTAAAATATGGTAATCTTTAACTCTGTACCATGAAATAATAATTATATTTCTAATCTATGGTAGTTACCAGTATGGGAGCATATTCCATTGTAAAAGCTATCATTATTCCATGATCCCTGACGCTGCTCCGGTAGCTGTCAGTGTATGTGTTTGTTCAATGGTAAATTTTCATAGCAGCACCATGAGTTGATGATATACTCTGGTTATGCTGATGTAGCTATCAATATATTTGTTATTTTACGTGTTATTGAGTGTGTGTGTGTGTGTGTGTGTGTGTGTGTGTGTGTGTGTATGCTGAGTCATTTAATATTCAGAAGTTTTGACACACGTGTACAGTTATGGCACAAACTTTGTCTCCACTTTGTCCTATTCTCTGGATATTACATTTGCACATCTAATGTATATATTTACCCTCCAATTTGCTCTCTCTCTCAAGGATGAAGGATAGTTGTACATAGTTGTCCTCTTTATGCATACAAATATTTACATGATCTGTCTATCCAAATATGGAAATTGGATAGACACATATATGGATGGATGGATGAGTGGATAGATAGATGGATGGATGAATAAATGGATAGATATATAAAGAGGGATAAATAGAAGGCTATATAGATACATTATCAGATGGATAGATGGATGGATGGAAACAGATAAGCTACATATTTCAAATGATTAGCCGTGAAGCTTGATTACATGATAACTATCTTTTGTGATAATGTTAGATAAGTGATCATACCAGCGTAAACACACACACACACACACACACACACACACACACACACACACACACACACACACACACACACACACACACACACACACACACACACACACACACACACACACACACACACACACACACACAAATATGATTAGGGATATTTAGATAGGTAAATGCATAGGATAGTAGACAGACAGACAGACAGACAGACAGACAGACAGATGGATAGCTAGATAGATAGATAGATAAATAGATAGACATATTATGAAACACTAAATCATTAACTCCTATATTAACGATGCTGTGCGCTATATGACCGTATTGGTACCTGTAATTAGCTGGTTCTTTTAGCGCAGGTGACGTAACTGAGTAACTGGTGGTGGTGTGAACTAGATTGTGGGTGGGTTAGGTGTATGTGGGTGTATGTTGGCGTGTTGTGGGTGTATATATGTATGGAAGTTTGTTATTGGTGTGTGTGTGTGTGTGTGTGTGTGTGTGTGTGTGTGTGTGTGTCATATTTTTACTCTTATCCTTTTGTATATAAGTCTGTCTCTCTCAGAAATGGCTCTAACTCTACCTATCTCTCCATCTCTCAACAGCGTCCTCAGACAAAGGCTCCAGTAAGAGTACCACCATAGAGATGTACGCCCCGTCCTCCTACACTGGTACGGTCACTGGCGAGACCTTGTCCTCCATCTCAGAGAAGTCTCGAGAGAGCTACGCACACGAGGTAAGTCTCCCTGGTCTCGTCCTGTCTTAAAATTTTGGTAATTTTTTTCGGTTTGTTGTGAGTTTAATTTTTATATCTATTATGTTTGTATTAGTATTATTTTTTTTTTTATTCTTATTATATTTTTATTATTAATTATTATTTGTATTATTATTATTTTTATTATTATTATTATTATTATTATTATTATTATTATTATTATTATTATTGATTGTTTATTATTATTATTATTATTATTATTAATTGTTTATTATTATTATTATTATTATTATTATTATTATTATTATTATTATTATTATTATTATATAAGAAACAACACCTGTACTGATATTTTGAATCCGGTGTTAATTAATTTTCCACTTGTGTTTAATAATTATTTAGCAGTAATAGTTGGACTTAGTGTCAAAAAAATGAAAATGATTCTATGTCGTTGACTTCGTAGGTTCGTACCTGAAGAAACATCCCTCAGTTGCTAGAAAATATCCTCCAGTATAATCAGAAGCTAACTTTTTTATCAGTTCCTTAAATTACGTTAACCTAAGTTAGCCTAAGTTAGGTTACCATGTTAAATAATTAAGTTCGACACTGGCACTCTTCACCAGGTAGCCAGCGAGGCACAGTGCCATGGGCCAATAACACATAAATACAACAAGCTTTTCCACGCACCTAAAAGCAGCCTCAAGCACACAGCGGCTTTATGGTCATGATTTATGACCCTCTTAGATACTCGGGAGGGTTTGGCTTCACTCCACCTCTCGGGAACTAATGTAGGTTACTAGTGAAGCTTAAGTAAATCTGTTCCGCCATTTGTGAGTGAAGCTTAACTCCATATCTTCCATATTACTTCCCCTTTCATTGGAATTATGGAATGGGAATATATGACATGAAGTCGCTTGATTCCGATACCCAGAGTTCGAATCCTTGCTATACTGTGTACTCCTGGCATCATATTTTTACTTCCGCCATGTTAATTTACAACACCGATGTGAGTTTCCTGTTTGTGCCGTCTATATACAGTAGGTGAGTTCAACCCAGCCAGTGTGGTGTATAGCACAAGCATCGCATTTAACCGTGTTTATACGAGAAGTTATTACTGCCAATGTGGCGTATCGCTCATTCCAGTTGTCTGTATAGCTGAATTTACCCCCAGGCCTTCAGTGCGCATAGCTAAATCCATCCTAGTCAACCTTGTGCATCGCTAAAACCACCCAGGCCTTGAGTGCGTATCGCTAAAACCAGTCAACCGTTTTTATAGCTAAATCCATCACAGCCAGTCGTGCAAATAGCCAAACTCATTCCAAAATGATCCTGTAATTTGAGGACAGTTTTACGCTAATCAGAGTCCCAGCCTTTGACCAGAGGCGAGCCAGGTATCACCACGTCACTGACTGGTGCTGGGATCAAAGCAGGTGTCCAAATTTGGGGTAATTAGCTGAATCCTAATGTACAGGTGAAACAAAAATTGAACTCGAAAAGAATCCAAGCGAGAATCGGTCATTAGCTCGTTCTTGTGAGTCAGTGATTCATTCAAATCGTTAACTCATTCTTATGAGTCAGTGATTCGTTAAGTCCTTCCTGTGACCCAGTGATTCATTTCAGTCGTTAACTTAATCTTGTGAGTCAGTGATTCATTCAGTCGTTCTTGTGAGTCAGTGATTCATTCAGTCGTTTTTGTGAGAGTCAGTAATTCAATCAGTCTTTCTTGTGAGTCGATGATTCAGTCGTTCTTGTGAGTCAGTGATTCATGTATATGTTTTTGTGAATCGTAGATGAAGACTTAGTCAGGCACCAAGAGAAGCAGCAGGCTATATAATTGTCCTATTTTCTCTAATACGAGTACTGTATTTCTCAAGACTATCAAAGAGACATCAAGCCAATTATAAACTCTTTGTGTTAATATTTCTTAAAAAGACATTAAGAAAAATACCAAGTCATATAAACCCTATGTTTCCCTAACTATTTCTTAAAAGAGACAGTGAGAAAACCCCAGGCCATTTTCCCCTCTGTTTTCTTAACTATCTACAATATATCTCCTCGACAATGTCCCCCTCCTCCCCTGTGCCTACTACACCACGTAAATGTTTATTATGTCTCTGGACGTCGTTCGCGGCCATTTAACTGGATTACGGCCTTTCATGGTCCTATATTCCCTCTTGGTACCGTTGCTTACCGGAGCTGGCCAGAGGGTTCCAGGCTAGAGGGGCGCGGAAGCCACATTAGAGCG